AAATTTCGACATTTTACACCTGGCGTTAGTCGGAAAAACATAGTATTACAATTTAGGCCGTATGTCTCTGTATGTATGTTGCGTATGTCTATGAACACAATAACTTGAGTATCGGTTGAGCTAGGTTGATGAAATTTCATTTATGTGTATTATATCAAAGTTGCAGTTCTGTATAAACTTTTCAGCTATTTCCGATAACCTGAAGTGGAACTTCTCTACTTTTGTTTTTTCAAAAGCCTATAGCTTGGGTACTATTTCAGATAGATAAACGAAATTTCACATGTAAGTAAAAGATCTAATCTCCTACTTGTTTCTAAATTTTGAGTAATTTCTGTTGACCGGAACTAGTACATTACGCTATTTCCGTATGAATGTATAAAGTAGCCTACTAATATTCCGCACTATTATACACATCTTGTTAGCCGTTCACTTGATGCGCAATTATTTTTTCTACGAGATCATTTTCTATATTTAAAAGTTTAAGTAATTAAAAATTGATCAAAAATCAAGTCTATACCCCCAGTTGCCATCTCCTGGAAGTGTTATATAAGAGTATTCGAGAAAGTTTAGGGGAGATCACTACTGGTTTATTTTGTTTGAAACTTTAAACCTGGCGTAAAGGTGTTAAACCTCCAGATTAATCTAAAGTTAGATAGAAACGTAGAAATTAAAAAATTGTAATTTGTAGAACCTATTTTCTTTTAGAAACAAATTTAAAGAATGATTTGTCGACGCATGTAGAAATTCTGAAATTGTAACACTCACTGCGCGACCAACGACTTCCTTTTGTTTAAAGCTATTTCTTATGCACACTTAAAAACGGGCTTGCAAAAAAAAAAAAAAAAAAAAAAAACACACACACACAGAGTATTTACAAATGTATTATTAAAGAAAGGGGGTGGGGATGGTCTTAACACATTTGTCAATACCACTATTGCCAGTTAAGGATCTTCCATCTAGATTCACTCCCAGGTGGAAATGTACACGGATTTTTAGAGAACTTTAGCCAATATGACATAAAAAAGAAACTTTACACAACAAAAGCAAAAAAAAAACTTAATCAATCTTTTTAATGAAACTTAAAAAAATTACTTTTTACTCCTAGTACTTTAGTACTTAAAATAATGGTTGATGTATAAAACGATTTCTTTTAGCATTTAACTACATAGATAAAGTGATGTGTTTGTTGCAAATTAACTAAAATGGTGAACATCATATACAACAAATTGAACTCTGTTGTTTGATGGCTTCAGTGTTCCACTCCTCGTGTGTTACACAGTGTGTTATTTGGTGGCTTAGTGTGTCCTACTCCTCGTGTGTTACACAGTGTGTTTTTTGGTGGCTCACTGTGTTCCACTCCTCGTGTGTTACACAGTGTGTTATTTGGTGGCTCACTGTGTTCCACTCCTCGTGTGTTACACAGTGTGTTATTTGGTGGCTTAGTGTGTTCCACTCCTCGTGTGTTACACAGTGTGTTTTTTTTGGTGGTTTAGTGTCTTACGCACAGTGTCACATTTGTTGCTACTACTCCAATCATTCAATACAACATATACAATTAATCAATACATTTTGACATGGTTTTCCTAGTTTTTAATTTGACTAAAGCTCACACGGGGTAGTGATCGTGCTCATATTGTTTTATACAAATGTTTGCTATGTTTTATCTAACACCATGGAGTGCGTATAGGTCTACATAAATTGATGGTACAAACTGTGATATATTACATAAAACCATAATCATACTGTATATCATTTAACATTATTAAAAGCCGTCTCCACACGGAATCTAGGGAGCGCGCGTAAGAGGTCGTGTGGGGTGCCGACAATGCTGGGCAGGGAGGCGGAAGTGGGGGTATCATGCGTGGTAAGAAAAAAATAGCTCATTTTGATCTGCATCTCTTAAGTACACACAGTTGAAATTCAGTAAACAAACTGATACCTGGCTTACAGACTGATTTAATATTGTCTACAGCATTTGTGTGACACCAAAATAAAAGGTCTTAATGGACATCGGCTGGAAAAAAGAGCCCCCCCCCCTCCCATCCCGACCTTTTGAAAAGTAGGGGCGGTTTTTCGGGAAAAAACAATATAAAAGCGGAGTGGGGTGGCAAATTAATAGTTTCCTTCGGGAAAAGGGATAGCTACGCCTCAGACACCCCCCCCCCCCCTTAGAGGCGTATCAAGGTTTTTGGTGTAGGAGTAGAGAAGAGAGCAAAAAAAGGCGCCGAATTTGTAACACGTATATATATATATATATATATATATATATATATATATATATATATATATATATATGTCTGGAAGAAACTCTGGTTGTGTTTGTATATAGCCTATATTGTAATTTTCAAAATTAATTACACGATTCAAAATTTATAATTTTGAAGAGTTATGTAAAAATTTTCTATATCAATAATTTTTAAGCAAATACATTATACTGTGGACTTTAACTTAACACCCCTCTTGTCAATTGGTACTACCCGTAGAATTTTTAAAACATCGAAATGCATCGTCATTCCTATTTTTAAAAAACGCAGCTGTTAATACGTTTTGTAAACGTGGATGCTCCATAAATGGTATCATGATTTAACACTAGTCTAGTACTATATGCTTAATTGCTGCATGAGAAGAAATCTTGTAAGTGATTTACATCGTTGTGCCGACAAATATCATTGCTTAAAACTTTGAGATTAAAAAGTTTCCTAAATAGGCGCGCGCCACTTTGCTGAAACCTATAAAAATTCTTTGTCTTCTGAAGAGAAAACACAAGTAAGTAAGACAGCTTTATCTGACTATTTACATATTTGTTAAAAATTGTAAAAATAAAATAAAACATAATCCAAGGCAGTTTTAATTTTTTTAAACAACACCACCACACTATAATATCAAATACACTTAAATGGTAATCCTAGTTCTATCTATTTTTCGATATATAACGTGAAATAACACTAAATTTCATGGTTGTATCTAAACACACACTGAATAGCTAAATAGTTGACGTCATGATCAATATTTCAATAGACATCGATCTTCAATTAAAAAAAAATAGTCGTAATACTTCAGTCACTAAAAAAAAAAGCTGGAGCATAATGTAGACCAAAGTACGGAATAAAATATTTTTCTAAAAAAAATATAAATAGACCTGACAATGTGTGTATGAATGTGTTATTTCATGTTGTACTGATCGCTGTCTCGTTGGTAAAATATCTACACATGTGTTCTCAAACATTAGGGCTGTGGTATTCACTCGAGGAAAAGGGAGAAATGTGTTTCAAATGTAATTGAATTATAAAGACGTTATTTGTTCACGAAATTCCAAAAAGATACAGTGTTATTGATGTGTTTTATACTTTAATAAGGTATTGATTTGCACGAAACTGAAACAGCTTTTAAGACTTATTTAAAATTTCACCCAATCTTCATGTTTATTAACATTAGATAAAATTTCCGAATTTATTAAAGGAAGTAAATATGTTAACTTAAATGTAGTTTTATTAAAATAAAAGTTACTCTTGCAAGGCTGACTCTATAAGACAGAGGTAGTAGAGTTGGTCTGTGACAATGATATCGCAATTTAATCCCCAGTTCTATATCCACATAGCCTACCTTTCTTTGAGTTATGTTCAGCTCCCCATCAAAGCTGAGCGAACTCAAAGACGAGTTCCAGAATCGTGCAGTTTGTCTTTCTCCAAACCATTCAACCACGTAAATTTCATGCACATAACGTAATATACTACCCACGAGCTGACCTCGACGTAGCATACGCCGCTATCTAGTTGTTTTATATTCTACTTATCAACAATTCATAATTTGTGAATTCAACACTACCGCACCTCCCTGCCTCCCCAACCCCCTGCCTCTCCCCCCACCCCACCCCACCCCACACCCCCATCCCCACCCCGCCCAGTGAAAGCAGACGCTTACAGACAGCAATGAAAATATCAAGCAGAACTTATTATCTCTCCTTAGTTTCAAATCGTTGAAAAACTAAATTATCTGCCCCTATTGGCCGTCACATTCGAACCGGCTCTATTATTGTAAACATTCGGGGTGAACCACAGCTCACCTGACAGGTGGGGGATGAGAGTGGTGGCTAAGCTGCGTGGTGTTTTCTATGGTCTATATGAAGAGAATTATATGTATAGATTATTCTAAAAACAATTCCTGACAAATATAATCGAAACCATCTAATTATAAAAGCTCTGCCATTTTAAGTAAACAATGCATTTTTAAACAACAGTGTAATATTAGTAACAATTGTTTCATAATGTCACGAGTTTATATTAGTAAAATATTAAAAGAAATGTTTTGTGTAACCCACAGGTTGTGAAATGAACCATGGAGTGCCGCAATATCCATAGCGACTGAGGTTCTAACCATGATCAGATGCTTAAATCAGCTGTCCATTACTAACCAATGCTAATACAGATTTTTAAACAAAAGGCCTTTATTAATCAATGTGAATCCCTTGAAGTGAATCGTGTCTTTTGGAACCATATAACATGGATAACTGTATAAAACTCGTACAAACGGCATTAGATGGAGACGTGATCAGTAAATCTCGTTTAATCAGTCAAATTGAACCTTTGTTATGCCAGTTCCCACGAGAACATTTAAATTCCCTCCTTTTGGAATCTTGCACCAAAGGGGAAATATGTCTTGCCAGATTTCTGCTTCATCATGGAGCAGACGTCAACTGTCGCGGAGTGGGCGGGACGACTCCGCTTCTCATTTCCGCCGGAAGTGGATTCACAGAAATCTGCTCGCTGCTGGTTGAAAACGGAGCAGACGTAAATGTAACCGATGACGATGGAGAAACGCCTCTGATGGTTTCCATCCAGCCTTCCGTTTCACTAGAGCAAATCTTGCTGTTTCTTCAGCAGCCAGATCTAAATATAGATCAACAAAACAAAGATGGCAGCACGGCTTTGATGAAGGCGATTGAAGTTCTAAATTTAGATGTTGTGATCCTGTTGCTAAATTCTGGAGCTTCTCTGGACGGTAGATCAAAACCTACTGGCACCAAGAGTGCTTGTGTTGAAATTGTGAACTCCAAAGGAGAGAACGCGCAGGATATTGCGGACAGACTAAACATCGGAAACGTTATAAAGTTGCTGAAAAACACAATAACTGAGGACCCATTAACGACAGCTGTTTTAAACCGAGATTTGGAAACTGTTGTGTTTTTACTAGAAACATTATATTTATCCAAAAACAATTGTAATGTTATTAAGGAACTTTTAAACTCCATACAAATGCAAAACAAATCTATCAGCGAGGTCGAACTGAAAATAATTGACAAACTTCTGATACAAGATTACGCGGCGAAATGGAAAGACGATGGAGGCGCGTCCCTAATTACGTCAGCTGTGGTCATCGGAAGCTCCGAGCTTATAGAGCTACTGTTTTCACACGGAGCTCAAGTCTCCCATGACGAGGTAGCCATTGCTGCCAAGATGGGCCGAAATGACGTCATCTCCCTGCTGCTGTTTCATCACGCACCTGTCAACAAAAGTGCACCAAACAGTTGCCTCCAGTTTGAAGACTCAGCTCTAGATTTAGCCCTGCAGTTTGAGCATATTCATACAGCAAACAAACTTGTACAACATGGCGCTTTTCTTGATATAAAAATGTCTTTAAATACATTAGTTCTTCAAGGTGCAATTAATTCGTTAAATTTTATCATATTAACGTATCCGTTTGGATGTAAGATAGTTCTAGAAGATTCAACCAACGGGTTATTGCACAGTGCCGTCGCTAATGACCACCTTGACATTGTGAATTTACTTCTGAACTCGAATGCGGATGTTAACGGGGTCCATGAAAGTCAAACGCCTCTAATGGTGGCAGATAGTTTAAATATGATCAAATTCCTGCTGAACAGAGGAGCAGAGGTGAATCAGAAAACTCACACAACAGCATTGTTGAACGTGTTGGCATCACATATTTTACGGCAGGAACAGTGTGGGTGTGGCGTGCAAGAGGAGAGCGATAACAATCTGGAAGAGATCGTGAAAGTTTTTCTAGAGCACGGCGCTAGCGTTCACGACACGACAGAGTTGCAGCAGACGCCTCTGATCCTAGCGTCTTCTCATCCTGAAGCAGTGGGTGTCGTGAAGCTTCTTCTTGGCGCCGCTTCTGACGTGAACCATGTAGATTCTCAAGGAATGACGGCACTGCTTCATGCGGTAAAACGTGATTGTGTGGAGAATATTGAACTTCTCGTCAAACACGGATCTGATGTGAATTTATTATCAAATGGCTCAACGCCATTACATCTAGCGTCTAAAATGGGGAGTGTTGAGGCAATTGAGGTTTTACTACGGCATGGAAGTAATCCACAAGCACAAGATGAAAATGGAAACACAGCATTGATGATCGCTATAGAACATTATACGATTCACCATTGGTTATTCAATCAAGCTATAGTAATGTTAATTGATGCCAGCACTAATTTAAATGTACAAAACTTGAAAGGCCGCACCGCTTTGATGCTGGCAGCAAAGTACTTACGCTTGGAGTTGGTAAAGTTATTGCTTAATGCCGGAGCTGATCCTAATATAGCTGACAATGATTCTGACACAGCCTTGACCCTAGTCTTAGGTAAAGTTCACGTCTCAGACTACAGCTTAGAGTGTGCGTCCAGTCTTTTAGAACACGGTGCAACTGCCCAGTTTGTCCACCCTGAAATGATCCACCAACTGACGTCACTTGGGTGGAGTAGAGTCGTACAGCAGCTCATCCAGCGAGGGCTGCCACCCAGTGAGATCGTGTTTTTAAAGAACTCGTGTGGCTGGCCCACATCCACACCAGTCACGCCTTTCTCTGTGGCCCTGTTGATGGAAAACATCGAGCTGGCCAGTTTTATGCTGGACGTCTGGTACTTGACGCCGTCTGATGTACGGACACTGTCTGGTCAAACGTCTGTCACAGACTCGTTGAGGAGAAAAGGTTTGTTTCGGTCAGTCAAGTTTCTGGAGGAGGTCACAACAAGACCAATGACATTAGAACAGCTTTGTTTTATCAACATCTCAGCAAAGGTGGGTACAGAAGCACATAGGGGAGACAACATTGAGAAGATGCCGTTACCGACCGTCTATAAAAACCAACTTAATTTCAATGCTACAGATACATCTCTAAACGAAGATGAAGTTGAAAAAAATGAACTGCTGTACTATTTTATTTTAAAGTATGGTACTATGGTTGGATTTGCTCCAACGTCTTTTTATTTTAGTGTTTATGGAGAAGAAGATACGGATGACGACAGCTCATCTGACTCTGGTGATAGCATATCTAGCAACGAGAATGCCTAGAATTTGTGTTATTGACTTAAGAGAAGATAAAGAAGAGTAAATAGGTAACCTAACTAGAAACTGGTCGGCGTTATCGAGCGGGAAAGCGAATTATTGCTAACCCGACACGTCCCGAGTTCGAAATCCCCTAGCAGATGAGGCTCGTTAGCTGTGGACAGCAACCCATGTGGTAAGGAAATCAAAAAGTAGTGGAACCCTGAGGCGATAGGATTACTAAGTCTAGCTGCATTTTGCTAGCTCCTGTGACACAGCTGATTTCAAGTTGTGTAGGTACCGTCCTGTCCCTTGGGTTAATCAGCTGTATAGAGAGACGTGGCTTGATGGGGGGGGGGGATATGTGTCTTCTCAACTTGCTGCCCAGATTTTGTTCTTTATTTCCATTTGTTTATCAATCTATCGAGCCTTTTATTTATTTAACTAGAAACAAAAATGACATGAGGACGAAATAAAGAAATATTGGCAGGTATTTGATTGCTAGTCGCGACAGGCTATTGTTAATCGCAATTGGTGTTTGTGATCTGTTAACCTGTGATATGAATGTAGTCTCGTACATTGACTCCGATTGTATTTATTTGATTATAGCCAGGTTGTAATTTATTAGTAAACAAATTTGGTGACGCAATTATGAACTCAGAAAATGCACGTATTAAATTATAAAAGTAATTCTTTCAAACCCTACGGTCAATTGGGCAGATAAAGTAGAGTTTTTCTTTTTCTTTACAACTGTATGTCAGGCCGCCTTTACTTGAGTCAGATACTCAAAAGAGCTGGATGAGCTCAGGGACGTCATAGAACTTTAGCCTGAGATCCGTGTTTGAGACTTTTGAAGTAGCAGTCGAACGCCCGTCCACGGAGTAGCAGTCGAACGTCCGTCCACGGAGTAAGAGTCGAATGTCCGTCCACGGAGTAGCAGTAGAACGTCCGTCACGGAGTAGCAGTCGAACGTCCGTCACGGAGTATCAGTCGAACGCCCATCCACGGAGTAGCAGTTGAACGCCAACCCGCGCCCAAACCTCATGATTCACTGTATAAGCAACTGCTGATTAATCATTTTACATTTATATTGTTTGTACTGGTTTTAATCTAAAAACCTTAGTTTATATATATAGTTTTCATGTGAAATAATTTTTTTTTTACATAAAAGAAAGAATACAGAATTGTTAATTTCTTTATAAGTGTTATTTCTGTTATTTCCATAGTCAATGGTATATGATTTGTTAAATTCATTTTGTAAAACTATTCAACTTTCTCATTTATCCATGCTGAGGTTAAGTATTTAAGACATAAGCCTATTTAATTCAAATGTAAGTTGTAGGTTATCATCTAAATAAGAGCTACGGGTAAAAAAATGAATCTTCCAGGTCACCAAAACTAGACCTGACAGTCACAGGTCCTAAAACTAGACCAGAGTCACAGGTCTCAAAACGAGACCAGAGTCACAGGTCACCAAACTGGACTAGAGTCACATGTCTCAAAACAGGACTAGTCACAGGTCTCAAAACTGGACTAGAGTCACATGTCTCAAAACTGGACTAGAGCCACAGGTCTCAAAACTAGACCAGAGTCACAGGTCTCAAAACTGGACGAGAGTCACAGGTCTCAAAACTAGACCAGAGCCACAGGTCTCAAAACTAGACCAGAGCCACAGGTCATAAAACCTAATTCTCCGATTAGGATTAAACAGGGGGATCAACGTATACTTACATTAATGATCAGAGTAGCTTCCCTTTAGGGTTTAGTTCTAAACTTCATGTCAGATTATTATTTTTAAATAAACAAGTATTTATAAAACAGCATTAGTACTTGTGGGAGTTTTGTCGGCCGACGTGCTGACACATCTAAGTGTTGGATGTATCACAAAACGTGTTCACTGTTTTACGCAGAACAATAGAAGAGCTTATTTGTGTTAGTTAGCTAGACACGATGGTGCTAAATATAGACTCAAGTATCATCTAACGTTTTAGACAGGAGTGTCAAGAAAATGTTGTAAAACTGGTGAATTCATCTAGTGTGGTCCTGTATGATCATTACATTCTTGGAAGCCCTTAAAATGAGTCTACTCATTTAAATTGACGTGAAAAACGGGAAGTTCTAATCGGATATTATCTACAGCAACAAGTGGAGTCACACAAAGGGTGTCATCGGGTGCGGCATCTGAGTGTCAACCAAGCTGACCCTTTCAATTTTTATTTTGGTGTCACCCCTCTCCCCTAAGTTATTATTTTAACAAGATAAAACATTTTTAAGTGAACGTTTTCGATTTGTCGATATGTTGTCACCCGTCCCCCCCCCCCCCCTTCCCATGAAATGGGGTTTATAAGGTAAACGAATTGAAAGCTGGACTTGTATTTTACTTGTCAAGCTCTATGACTATGTAATGTGAATTAGCTTTGACATAATTAGATGTGTAATCCATTTTAAAATGGGAAAGTTTTCAATATAAAGCACTAATAATATTCATGCATAATTAAAATTACGTAAACTAAGATTTTAATTAAGTGAGATATTACTACATAAGAAGGATATCAGTCATTTGTTATTTAATTACAGAGTACATTATCGATCATTCTGCATTTATTACGTTAAAATGCAGAAAATGTACATAAAATATTTTGACTTCAGGCCTTATATATATATATATATATATATATATATATATATATATATATATATATATATATATATATATATATATATATCGAACGATGGAAAAAACCATGTTCTTCAACCTTGCAATGAATGCTGGCTTGACAGAATAATGGGAAAGTTTACCCGCTTTTCAGTAACGTTTTTCATTTTTTGAATTAGAACACATTTTAAATTTAAAAACAAAATCTTACTTAAAGCATAAATACTTTTATTCTGATCAATTTACTAAGCTAACGACTTTTTAAAATTAATTTGCTTATTATTTTTATTTCAACACGGTGGTTTTAATTAAGTATACAGTAAATGTCTTTAAATGTCTGATTGGTTTTATAACAAGATAACAAAATAGGTAATGTACAGTGACCATGTAATGTTCAATGGCTTACATTTTGTAAAAAAAGACGATGCTTATATAAATGGGTTAAATTGTATTAATGAAAACCTATGTTTACATGAGTAGTAAAACACATCCTAAAAGTCGCTGACTGAGCTAAAATCCGAATCAGATGAGCTCTCCTCAGAATCATCGTCATCATTATCGCTGTAATCTTCGTATGGATCAAACCCTTCCCCGCTGCCGTGCTTCAAAATGTAATGGTGCAAGAGTTCATTTTTCCTGTATTCATCGTCGTCAAGGGATATCTCTACAGTGTTAAACTTCAGCTTGTTTTTATAGACTTTTGGTAACGGCATCTTCTCAATGTTATCTGCCCTATGTGCTTCTGTACCTAATATTGATGAAATGTTGATAAAACAAAGCTGTTCTAATGTCATTGGTCTTGTTGTGACCTCCTCCAGAAACTTGACTGACCGAAACAAACCTTTTCTCCTCAACGAGTCTGTGACAGACGTTTGACCAGACAGTGTCCGTACATCAGACGGCGTCAAGTACCAGACGTCCAGCATAAAACTGGCCAGCTCGATGTTTTCCATCAACAGGGCCACAGAGAAGGGCGTGACGGGTGTGGATGTGGGCCAGCCACACGAGTTCTTTAAAAACACGATCTCACTGGGTGGCAGCCCTCGCTGGATGAGCTGCTGTACGACTCTACTCCACCCAAGTGACGTCAGTCGGTGGATCATCTCAGGGTGGACAAATTGGACAGCGGCACCGTGTTCTAGCAAACTGGATGCACACTCTAAGCTGCAGTCTGAGACTTGAACATGACCTAGCACCAGGGTCAAGGCTGTGTCAGAATCATTGTCAGCTATATTAGGATCAGCTCCGGCTTTTAACAAAGACAAGAGAATCTCTAGAGAGGTATACTGAGCCGCTAAAGTTAACGCGCTGGTTCCACTAGAATTCCTGACGTTTAAGTCTGAACTAGCTTCTATCAATATTTCGATTGCTCTGTGATCAGCCCACGTATCTTCTACTGCCTCCTCCACGGCAATAATTAAAGGTGTGTTCCCTTTGCTATCCTGTAACTGTGGATCTGCATCGTTCTGTAAAAGGAACTCCATAGTCTCAATGTTACCACTCTTAGTCGCCATATGTAAAGGCGTGGCGCCTTTTAAGCTTTGAGCGTTAATATCCGCTCGATTTTGTACAAGAAGTTTAATATTTTCACTGCAATTATTTTGTACAGCGTAATGCAGTGCCGTCAAACCGAGAAAGTCTTTGTAATTCACGTCAGAGTTGGCGTCAAGGAGAAGCTTCACGACGTCTGCTGACACCTCTGTGCGTGACGCCAGCATCAGTGGCGTCTCTTGCTGGTCTGTTGTGATGTGGACGCTAGCGCCGTGCTTTAGAAGAGCGTGTACGATTTCTTCGATACAATAATTAAAATGGTCAGTCTGTTGGCTAAATTCTAGAATTTTTCGGAACATGGTTGTATAGTCAGAAGACAAAACGTTTAACAAAACGGTTGTGTTTGTTCTTTTATTTACATCAGCTCCTCTGGCCACCAACAAATCAATCACAGCAACGTGCATTGCTGCCATTAAAGGCGTTTTATGGTAGTAAACACCGTTAACATCAGCATTCAAGTTTAACAAAATGTTAACAATATCAACATCGCCTAGCTTCACTGCTGTGTGTAGTAAGCCTCTGTTTGTGTCTTCTGCGATCCTAGTACATACCATGGGGTAGTTGGTCGCAATAAAAGTGAACGTTTTTTTGCTACCTTGAGCAACCGCCGCAGTCATGGATGCTGCAATGTCTATGAATGCACCATATTGAGCCAACTTCAGTGCCGTGTCAATGTGTTCAGAGGCTAAAGCTGACTCTAGGGCGGACCCACAGAACATTGGAGCCTGGTAAGTCGTGAATTTGTTGACTGGGGCGCCGTAGTACAGCAGCAATGATATGATGTCGTTACGTCCTTGTCGAGCAGCAAGGGTGACCTCGTTATGGGAGAGTCTGGCGCCAAACGAACACAACATCTCAACAAGTTCTGCACTTCCAATCTCCACAGCCAGAACCAGAGAAGTCTCACCAGAATCAGACTTCCAATTGACGTCATACCCACATTTAAGCAACGTTTGGAAGATTTCTATCTCGCCCCTACTCACGCTTCTGTTTTCTGTTTTGATAGACTTCAGAAGCTGCACAAGTACTCCGTAACATTTTTGTGATAAGTACATTGTATCGACCAGAAACTTCACAGACACCAAGTCTCTGTTTAAAGCTGCTGTTATCAATGGGTCTTCGTTATTGGCGTTTCTCAGAAATTTTATAACGTTTCCGATGTTTAGTCTGTCCGCAATATCCTGCGCGCTCTCTCCTTTGGAATTCACAATTTCAACACAAGCACTCTTGGTGCCAGTAGGTTTTGATCTACCGTCTAGAGAAGCTCCAGAATTTAGCAACAGAATCACAACATCTAAATTTAGAACTTCTATCGCCTTCATCAAAGCCGTGCCACCATTTTTGTTTTGATGATCCACATCAACGTTATCCTGCTCCATCAGCAAATGTATAAGTTCAATAGAACCAGACGGCTGAACTGCTGCCATCAGAGGCGTATCCCCGTCGTTATTTGAAGAGTTGACATCAGCGCCTTTTTTTAGAAGTAGCCTACATATATCTGTGAAACCTTTCCAGGCACTTACAATCAGAGGTGTGTCGCCATTTTTTCTACTGTAGTTGACATTTGCGCCTAGATTGACGGCGAATTGAACCAAGGTTTTGAGGCCTCTGTTGCAAGATTCGATTAAAGAAATGTCTAAAGCGTCTTGACAGAAAGTGTAGCCCGCGTCTTCAGCTTGTTTCATGAAATCAATGATAGCAACATTGGTGCCATATTTGGCGATTTCAATCAGATTTTTGTTGTGGGTCATCTTGTGGCTACTTGCCTTGATCTACACTACTTCAAATGTCAAACATAGCATATCTACTAGCAAAACATTGATTGTACCTGTAAAAGAGAAAAATGTATTTTAGAAACAAGATTTGCTTTAAATCATATCCACATTTTCAAAGATATTTTGTAAAAACATCAGTCTATCTAGTGTATACTATAAACTGCAATTAACTGCATATTAATCGTTCATCTTTCAACTTAAGCTAGATCACCATCCCAAAAAAAAATACAACACTATCTCACCAAATGCATAACACCACCTCACCAAATACATGACACTACCTCACCAAATACATGACACTACCTCACCAAATACATGACACTACCTCACCAAATACATGACACTACCTCACCAAATACATGACACTACCTCACCAAATACATGACAACATGACACCACCTTAACCAAATACATGAACCCCCTCACCAAATACATAACACCACCTCACCAAATACATCACACCACCTCACCAAAGACATGACACCACCTCGTAAGTCCTGTCTGGAAGAGATGATTGACGAGAAGTTGTAACTCTCGCTGTTACCATCAAGTTACAGTAGAAACTTGAAAACCTCCGGCTGGGAAGTCCTCAAAATTTTACAGGCGACCCCATCTGGATGGTCCTCGTACTGTCGGAGGCGATCCCCAACCGACGGTTTAAAGATATGTTGTGTGGATAGCAGTCAAAATGTAACTTTAGATATTCTCTGTGCTTATCTGGAAACAAAAGACGTAGAGGCTAAAATAATGTTTATATTTCGGTAAAAGAATCCGTCAATAAAATTGCAAACTAACTATACCTTTGCTTTATTTAAATTTCAATGACATGCATTTATTCTTTTACAACAAAGGTAATATAATATTAACTCATTGGGAAAGTTTATTTTAATATTTGCAGTAGAGAAAAGTATTTTGCTCGGTTCTATTCTCTCACTGTTTGCTTAGCCCAGAAAATGCCAGTGTAAGCGCAAAACAAGAAAGACGGAACATTACTCAGAACAAAATGTACTTTGCATTCTGTTTTCGGACTTATTCTAAGACGATATTATAAAAAAAATTTCTTTTTCAGAATGTACTATGCAGAGTCTGAGTTAACCAGTTTGGCGACTTTAAACACCGGAAACACCCACATAACACCAAGATATGGGTAAACAATAGTTTTTTTCATAACAAACAGGAAATGGGTTTTTTTTCATTTATACCTATAGGAAAACTAAAATATCTGAACGTTTTTTAAAGTCCGTAAACGTTATTAAATGACTTTACACGTTTTTGACAACTTTTTTTTATCCACAATTATCTTTTACAGATCGTCAGATAAACATTTAAATAACGTTTTATTTCAACCCCTCCCCCACCCCCCCTTCCACACAAAAGAACACATACACACATTCAATATCAATTGTGTAGCAATTACTGCCATACAGATTATCTCAGCCTATATGGTTTCGATATTTTCAACACACAAAAAAAGAACTAGTTTTAAAAATGTGAAATAACAGTTGAATTCAGTTTCAACATTACCCTTTATAAAATATTATATTTACGTTATACAACAGCTTGACGTCATACTTTCTCCGTGTAAGATATCAACAACTGTCAGCTCATAATAAAACTTAGCAGTGATTTATACTTGCCGTACGTCCAGACAGTATAATTCTAATGCTCTAGAGCAGGGGTCTCCAAACTACGGCCCGCGGACCGGATGCGGCCCGCGAGGTCCTCTCATCCGGCCCGCGGAGATCTTTTTGTCCACGGAAAAAACGTTTGTTGGTAATGGCTGAGGAACTTTGCCCAGAAAATCAAAGACATGCCTGGAAGAAACTGGCCCCCGAACTGAAATTGATAGTTAATGCGGCCCTCGGACTGAAAAGTTTGGAGACCCCTGCTCTAGAGTCTAGACTCTTGTGCGTAGGTAGACCTTTTCTGAGGAATAGGCAAGCAGTATGCTACAGGCCTGCTTTTATCAGGTTAGGGTATCTGAAGTTCGAGCCGTCAGTACACCAGGTTTTTTTTATTATACATGGCTGTGACGGATCACCGGCCTACTTTATTTTGAGCAATGAGGTGAAGAAAATGTTTAAAAGGGAAAAATTTCTCAGAAAAGGGCATCATCGAAACTGGAGAAGTAAAAAGATATATATATATATATCAGAGGGGTAGCGAGGGGGGGGGGGGGGGCGGGGGGTGCGGACCGCACCGGGTGACACCATTTAGTGGGGTGACACCAAGGCAAAAAATAATAAAATATATACAGAAAAATTTGAGGGGGTGGGGGTGCAAATCGAAAGTTTGACGGGGGGGGGGGGGGTCAAATCGAAAGTTCGAGGGGGGTGCAAATCGAAAAATGAAAGTTTGTCCCCGGGAAGAGTCGCTACGCCTCTGAGGCGGTGACACCATTAAGTGCCGCACCGAGTGAAATCCGACCACGCTACGCCACTGATATAAATATATATATATATATATATATATATATATATATATATATATATATATATATATATATATATATATATATAGGCCTATACATAAAGAAGTAACATATCCGACGTTCCAAAGCGGTTAGGTTAATTCAACTGTAGAAATCGAATCTAATCATCTAATGTCAGCAAATAACAAAAGGCTTCGATTATGCCTACAACTGAAAATAGAACTAAACTTACACGAGAAAAATAATGAACATTACACGCGAACTGAAAGTAAAACTAAAGTGGTGTGCGATTTTATTTTCATATCGCTGACATCCTACTAGAATAACCTACATTGTCTTAAATTTTTTTAAACATAAATTTGTTACCTGTTAAAGCAAACCAATAGAGCCGCTTAGTTTAAAAATCCACGACAGTCAAGCATTGCTAATTTACTTCAACAAATGAAGTAGAGCACGTACAAGGAGCACATTGCTCTGAAGTTAATGACGCGACAATGAGGTTCACCCCACCCGGAAGCCGATAACTCTTTCCTAGAAAGCGGCGGGATGTTTTGAGTTAAAAATAGCACCACACGGCGGGATGTTTTGAGTTAAAAATAGCACCACACGGCGGGATGTTTTTAGTTAAAAATAGCACCACACGGCGGGATGTTTTGAGTTAAAGATAGTACCACACGGCGGGATGTTTTGAGTTAAAGATAGCACCACACGGCGGGATGTTTTGGGTTAAAAATAGCACCACACGGCGGGATGTTTTGAGTTAAAGTTAGCACCACACGGCGGGATGTTTTTAGTTAAAGATAGCCCCACACGGCGGGATGTTTTGAGTTAAAGATAGCCCCACACGGCGGGATGTTTTGGGTTAAAAATAGCACCACACGGCGGGATGTTTTGAGTTAAAGTTAGCACCACACGGCGGGATGTTTTTAGTTAAAGATAGCCCCACACGGCGGGATGTTTTGAGTTAAAGATAGCCCCACACGGCAAGATGTTTTTTTTTAGTTAAAGATAGCACCACACGGCGGGATGTTTTGGGTTAAAGATACCGCCCCACACGGCGGGATGTTTTGAGTTAAAGATAGCCCCACACGGCGGGATGTTTTGAGTTAAAGATAATACCACACATCGGGATGTTTTGAGTTAAAGATAGCACTACACGGGGGAGATGTTTTGAGTTAAAGATAGCAACACACGGCGGGATGTTTTGGGTTAAAGATAGCACCACACGGCGGGATGTTTTGAGTTAAAGATAGCCCCACACGGCGGGATGTTTTGAGTTAAAGATAGCACCACACGGCGGGATGTTTTGAGTTAAAGATAGCCCCACACGGCGGGATGTTTTGAGTTAAAGATAGCCCCACACGGCGGGATGTTTTGATTTAAAGATAGCCCCACACGGCGGGATGTTTTGAGTTAAAGATAGCCCCACACGGCGGGATGTTTTGAGTTAAAGATAGCCCCACACGGCGGGATGTTTTGAGTTAAATATAGCCCCACACGGCGGGATGTTTTGAGTTAAATATAGCACCACACGGTGGGATGTTTTGAGTTAAAGATAGCACCACACGGCGGGATGTTTTGAGTTAAATATAGCCCCACACGGCGGGATGTTTTGAGTTAAATATAGCACCACACGGTGGGATGTTTTGAGTTAAAGATAGCCCCACACGGCGGGATGTTTTGAGTTAAAGATAGCCCCACACGGCGGGATGTTTTGAGTTAAATATAGCGCCACGCCACATGCGATGTGTTGTTTCAGGGCGAGGCTTAACCGTCACGTAGGACTACTCGGTATTAGACACACGTGTTAAAGCACACTGAACTAAATCTTAGAGATTACATTACGCTTAGGGCTTACCTGAATGCAGTGGTTTCAAATTTTCTATTCGCACACCCCCTCAAACTTTCGAGTTGCACCCCCCCCCCCCTCAAGTTTTCGATTTGCACCCCCCTCAAGTTTTTCTCTATATATTTTGCTATTTTTTGCCTTGGTGTCACCCCCCTAAATGGTGTCACCCGGTGCGGTCCGCGGCCCCCGACCCCCCCCCCCCCCCCCCACCTCGCTACGCCTCTGCCTGAATGGCATTGTTTAGTTGCAGGTGTTAGATAATAATATGTTCTTTTAGTTTGTAAACACAACGGCTGATACGGCTATGTCAACGAAACGTTAAAGACACCATTTATACACAGACTCCACACACGCACATACACACATACTCCACAAACACACACCCCCCTTCCCCCCCCCCCCCCCACATACACACTGACAAAAAAAACTTCAAAAAGTCTTTTATCAACGATAATTTGTAAAAGTATTTTATCTGGAACCATTTTGTCAAGATTCCTTAATTCAGCCAAAGTCTTTAGTCCGTCCTTATTTAAACCTTTGCGTTGGTATTATTGTATCTTTTAAAAAGAAATTTTGTAAAGACAAAAAAATGCGCCGATCTATTCACACCATTTTGATCGCAAATAATTCACACACTCGTTTTTAGCACACTTAAAACAAACATCCGTGTTTGTTAAAGTTTGTATTAAGATCGGACTTAACG